GTGCGCTGACCGGGAATCGAACCCCGATCTCCTAGATCATAGGTCGATGCTCAACCACCGACCGAGCCACGCCGGCCAGGCGACTCCCAGTCTTAAATCCATCTGTGATTCCCATGCCTACGGGACAGAAGTCCAAGGCTCGCAGAAAGGCACCCGGGCCCTCGGTGGAGTCCTGGCTCCGCAGCCGCAGCTCTCCCTGCGCCCCCCGAACCCTCCCCTCCCCTTCAGCTGTGCCGCCTGGCCCGCAGCGCACAGACCTCCCTCGCCCGCTGCCTCGGACCGTCAGCCCCTCCTCCCACGGGCTCAGGCCTCTGGCTCTGGGAAAAGTTCCTTCAAGCAGGAAAGGCCTTTTGTCTTGCTCAGGGAAATGAAGGAATGACTGAATGAGTCAATCAATCAGCGATTTGTGGAATGGGAGATCAATGCTGGGCATGGCCTAATGATAATTAAAGAAACCAAACTAAGGTAAAAAGCTCCTTCCTCCCCTCCTCCCCCCGCCTCCGCCTCCGCCTTCTCCCAGCACGTAGTTTACGCTCCGAACTGGTCCTGAAATCCTCAGGGAAGGTAACCCGCTAGGTGACGGGCTACTAAGAAACGCTCTGCTGCTGCTCGCTCGTCTCTCCCCAGCTTCTTCCCGAGACTCTTTCCTTCCTCATAATTTCAGGTTACGGGGCAACCCCTTTCTATCACTTTAATCCACAAAATTATACCCTGAAGTCTACACACCAGACAGATACAACCACGATCCCTGTCTCCCTCTCAAAGCAGGGCGGCGGGTCTGACACGCACCCCACTCGCGAGCTCAGCCAACGCAGCCCTGCAGCTGAAGAAGGAGCGAACTCGGGTGGTGCTTTTTGTATTTAAAAAAAAAAAAAATCTAGGCAGTAGTTTCAAACTATCCTCCCCAAGATACTGAAAAAGCAGGCACATCCGTGCGCGATCCAGCGCTTGCCCGGCCGGGCCACCTCGCCCCATTCCTCAGCGGGCCACACGCCCTTCCTGTAGTTCACCCAAAAAAATCACACCCATAATTTTAGGAACTTCCTTGATTTTCCTACTTCTTTATATTCTCCTAGACCCCCTTCCTTCCTCTGCTCAGCAGCAGTCCCTTCTCTATGCTCTAAGAAAATTAAAATGCTTTTAATTAAAAAATGAAACCATGTTCAATGGGGAAAATTCAAACAACATATAGGTGACTGTGACGACGTACCCCCAAGAGTTACCACTGCAACACATTCAAATGCATCGTTCTCTTACGTGCTTTTATGCACCCGTAAATACAAATGCACAGACACACTAAACTGGCATTCTGTTATTTTTTTAGATATGTTTTTATTGATTTCAGAGAGAGGGAGAGAGAGAGAAACATCAGTGATAAGAGTCATTGATCGGCTGCCTCCTGCACGCCCCTCTGCTGGGGATCGAGCCCACAACCCGGGCACGTGCCCTGGCCGGGAATCGAACCAGAGACCTTTTGGTGCATGGGCTGACTCTCTACCGCTGAGCCACGCCCGCCAGGGCTACTCTAGTTCTTTAAATCTGACCCGGGAGACGATAAATTTGACTTTCATGGATTCTCTTAAGCAGTAGCTCAGTACCGCTCCGGTATAAACTACAGGCGGAGCGACGGTCCATCGAACGATCCTCTGTTTGGTCTGATCGTTCAGGAACGCCAGGGAAGACCACAAGTCCCACAGGCCAGGAAGTCCATGTCATTTCTGTTTTATATAACAATTTATGTCAACCCCCGTCTTCACGCTCCTGCCTCGAGCGGCCGGGCGGCTTTAAAAGGCTGCTCTCTTCCCTCTGCAACCCGACGCCCGGGCCCGGACACCGGAGATGTGTTACTAGAGAGTAGCCGTCAGGTCCCGCGGACTCAGGCCACTCGCTGCTCAATCACTGGGCCCCCTCCCTAACCAGGCACGATGCGCAGGGACGCAAACCCAGGGGCGAGGCGGGCGGATGGAATTACACACCAGCAGAGCTCTCAAGAAAGACTCTAGGAGAACATGTCGTTGCCACTCGGTCTACTTTTAGACCCCTCGCCACACCCCAGCAGGTGCACGGGCTCACAGGCGGGAGGTGGGCAGAGGTCCCGAGGCCACCTGACCTGACGGCAGAAATGGCTCTGAGGCTGGATGGCGAGTTCAAATCCCGACGCAGGCGCTCGCAGGCTCCGGAACCTTCGTCTAAACTCTCTGTGCCTTGTGTTCCTCATCTGTCAAGCGAGAACCTTCCTCATCAGGGTGGGAGGACAACGTGTCTGGACAGCCTAGAGCACCCAGGCCTGGCAAACAGTGAGCGCCTCAGAAATGTCAGCCCTGATTGTTATTAAATAGCACAGGGGCGGGGAAGGGAAGGGAAAGTGGGGTACGTTCAGTCTATACTTCTAGCCACCTGTGCGAAGTTGTCTGATTTGCTTCCTTTCTTTTTTTAAATTTTATTTCTCAATCACAGCCGACACTCCATATTATTCTGTATTAGTTTCAAGTGTACAGCACAGTCGTCAGACGATCATATACTTAATACTTTACGAAGCGTTCCCCCCATATGTCCGGTCCCCACCTGGCGCCGTACAGTTACTACAACGTTATTGACTATATTCCCTAAGCTGTACCTGACGCTCCCGTGACTACTTGGTAGCTACCAATTTCTGATTTGCTTTCTTAACGCGAAATTTTGGAGAAAAAAACATTTGCTCTGCACGCGGCGAAGGATACGGTAAGGATTACTACGCGAAAACAACAGCAGAAAGGCCCGTGTTGACGCTCCCGGTGCGGCAAAGATTCAGGTGTGAGGTCAAGGCCGCCTGTCCAGCCCGCCGCGGGCTCGGGGACAGGGGTGACCATGGCGACGGCGGGACTCTGGGAAAGCCCGTCAGCAGCACGGGCCTCAGCCGAGCCTAATGGAGCACTGACGTGCTCCAACCTCATCTTTAGGGCCCAGAAAGGTCAAAAATGTGAAAAACAAACCAACCAACAAAGAACTATTCTGACACCAGACAGGAGGAAAGACAAAAGACAAAACTGATGCGAAGGGCGAGTCCACGCAGAGGAGGGGCCGCGCTCCAGCGTGAGCTGGCTTCAGCGGGGGAGAGAAACGCCCGGCTCAGTCACGAAGGGCAGATCTTTCTCCTCCAACTGCCAAGGTCATCACAGCAAAACCGGAGCGCACGTCTGGCAAGTCACAGCCGGTGGAACGGCACCTGAAGCTGAAGGACTTGGCATTTTGAGAAGTGCTGCTGGACTCGGGATTAAAAGAGGGACCACGCCAGACGAAAACGGTAAAACCACCACCAACAAAATTGTTTTTGAACTACAGCTCAAGATGGGAAGCCCATCACCACATTCATCGTCCTGGAAAAACAAATTTCTCCAGGTCACGTACCCGCCTCTGAATCCTCAATACTCCCCGTGGCTACAGGAGAGAGTCAGAAACCTCCGGGTCACAGAGCCCGCCTACCTTTCCAATCGCCTTTCGCCATCAGAGGAGATGTCCACTCCCGCCAGGCCGGTTTCCTTATTTGCTCACTTCAGCCTTGTAGCCCCAGCGCCTATCACAGTACCTGGCACATAGTAGTTGCTCAGTAAATGTTTGCTGGGTCAACAAAAAACGTGAATGCTTCTAGGCCTGCAGGCGGCACCTCACTCCTGGAAAGCGCCTCCCCCACCCCTCTGCTGACAGGCCGCCGGCCACCTCTTCTCAGCACCAGCACCGGGGCAAGGGCCCTCGCCTGCTTCTCTCTCACTCCCATCCCTACAGAATCCTTCACTTTGGACCTTTCTTGCCGTTTAAACATTTCCTGCTCATACGTTTTTGTCTGCCGGACTAAACAGGGGTTTCTAAGAGACAGGAAGGCAGGATATTTAAGCAACGAGAAGCAGTGGGAAGAAAGGTTATTGCTCTGTGGCCTGGCAGACCTACTGATGTGAGTTTGGGAACCTTTTTTTTTTTTAATCCTCACTAGAGGATTTTTTCCATTGCTTTTCGGAGAGAGTGGAAGGGAGAGAGAGAGAGAGAGAGAAACATCACTGTGAGAGAAACACATCGATTAGTTTCCTCCTGGCACCCCGACTGGGGCCGGCATAGAGCCTGCAACGCAGGTATGTGCCCTTGGCCACAATTGAACCCGGGACCCCTCAGTCTGCGGGCCGACACTCCAACCACTGAGCCAAGCCAGCCAGGGCATTGGGAACGTTACATGAAACCTTAGAACAACGCCCGGCATGGAGTATGCCCTTCGTCGACGCTGCTACGATCATTCTTCATCTCCCAGAACCTCAGTTCTCTCGCTCAGCTCACAAAACGGGATTAATAACAACTCCTCGGACAGGTGGGTCTCTAGGAGGATTAGAAATAATGTCCAAAGTCCATGGGACCTTCCTTAGCCGCTCAACAGCCCCAGGGCAGCTATTATCCCCAAGCTGCATGCTGGGTGCAGACAGTGCGCTCCGAGCACGTTTACGGAATGAGCTGAAGGGACCGAGAGAGACAGAGCCTGACATCAACTCAGACGCCAAGGGCAACCCTCCACCATTCATTCAAGAAATCTTTATTCTTTATGAAGGGCTATCATTACGGGCCAGGCTTCGGCCTAGGTGCTGCGATGCAACAGTCAGAATAGTCCTTGCCCTACGAAACTCATTTCTAAAGGGGGAGGCAGATAGTAAACAGGGGGGGAGACAGAGAAATAAGTTTATATGGTATTAAGCGCCCTGAAGAAGGAAATAAAGCTAGGAGAGGGCAAGCTGGCGGACTGGGCAAGGGCTGTCTGCAGAGCTGGCATTTAGGCGGAGGGCTGAAGCCCCTGGAGAGCTGGCTTTTGGGAGACGGCCTTACCCTCGGCTCAGCGTCTAGTGCCAGAGGCCCCAGCTCCGCCAGACAGGCCGCCGTCTGCCTCCCGGGACCCCTCTCAACTCAGACCAAGCTACAGACACTGCGGGGCCAGCGACGGCTGGCAGTGGCCGCTTAGCCCCGGCGGAGACGGATGGCAGCCATACCGCGACGGGTCTGTTCCCCAGGAAGTTCAGGTCGCTGTTCTCTCCGAACAGGTAGCCTTCGGGGTGAGCGGAGTCGAACTTCTCTCCTCCCATAATGAAGTGGCTGGCAAAATAGCTTCCTGGAGAGGGCGACACAGAAAGAGCAAGTGAAGCCAGGCCGGCTAACCCAAGCGAAGGCGCAGATTTGAAAAAATGTTAGCTCCCAACAAACAGGGCAATTGCTAAGCCCAGGAGGCCGTCCTTCTCTGGGTCTGCACAATGGCATGGAATAAATAAGCAAACTCGAAGCGGCGAGAAGCCAAGCTAGGAAACATAAACCAGATCGCTGTTTTCCCCTCCAGCATTCTTAACTGAATCTCTGCCGCGACCTGTCTCTAATACCATCGGCCCAACCACGAGAAGGCCCCATGAGGCACATCAGTGAACGTATGTGTGTATTTTGTTCCTGGTTTTTCCGCTTACACTCGAGGTGGCTACGAGAGTGTCCCTGGCGCAGTCAGGAATCTTAACCACGGAGATCAGCGTACATACAGACGCATACAATCCTTTGCCTAGATTTTCATAAGCCAGCTCCTACCCGAACACCGAGTCTCAGAGCCCCCGACACCACGTGTACAACCCTCTACAACGCTCTTCAATTTTCATATGTGCTTCAGATGATTGTTTAATAGGAAAATACGAATTAAAATACTACAGCTGGCCCTGACTTTGCCTAGCAATTACTACACGGATTATGGAGTTTAACCGGACAACAGCTTAGTGCCATGAAAGAAAGACACACGCACGCACACCGTGAGCCTCCAATTCATTAGCCGTGGCCGTGGCCGTGGCCAAGGCCGCGTGGCGTCAGGCGTGGCACGGCCCTCTTTGCCCCACACTACAGCACCTGGATGCAGCCAGCAGTCAGGGGGCAGAATCCCCACAAGCTTCATCCAGACAGATCCGGAACTGTGCCAGGGAGTGCCAGCATGTGATGACAGTCACCTGTCACCACCGGAGGCGCAGGTGACACTGCAGGCTCTGTCAGGGAATGCTTTCCAGCTCTGACAATTAAAGAAACGCCTCGTAACCCAGATTTCTACAACCTAATTCCCCCACGAAGGTAAGCTCTCCAAAGTGAAGGACTCACACGACCACGCACCTCACCACTGCTCCCATTCACCCCAGTTCTCGGGTTAATACGGAGCAACTATGAAACGCCCCAGGCTCCCGTGCGAGCGACATCAGCTGGGATACGGATTTCACTCCCTAAATCAGTGTCTCTTTTCATTGAAGGTTCCCAGCAAACTCTGAAAAAAAAAGAGACTGGACCCTTTCAGCCCAGCCCGTGTGGAAGCCACAGGAAGGAAGACGAAAATCCTAACAGGAAAACAACCAAGTTGTCAATTTTTGGATTTTCTACGCATGAAGCTTTAGTCTAGAAATGTTTTTTAGACAAAACAACAAGGATGAAATCGCTCCCCACAAAGCGAGGCGACTCCTTAATTAAACAACAGGCCAGAAGAGATTCTTCGAGAGCCGAGAGCGGCCGCAGCCCAGACGGAGGCGCGTGGGGGACCCGACAGCTTAAAGCGCAAGGAGCAGTCACCTGCAGGAGATGCCACCGCGCAAGCCGTCGGGCAGGAAAGCTCGACTATCAATTATTTACGTCCAGAACTTGCGAGCCCTACTTTCCAAGTGCATTATTTATAGAGCGGGAGGTGCCGCAAGTGGAAGCAGCCATCTCACGGCATTTAAGCGATTTACAGCCGACGCTTAGTAAAATATATTTTCTATACGTGAGAAATCACGTATTTATTATACATGAGGTGAAACCAGAAAAGTTACGGAGTTTACATTAATGGAGGAATCGCCCAAGTCATGAATACTACTCAGTAAATGCTGTTAGTAAACGTCGCCCCCCTATTACCTTCCTTCGTCCTCGTGGGGCTCCCTCCGAACCCTCCACCACGGAAGTTCAACCCCTCACAACGCCCCTGTTTCTATCCATACTCTCCCCGTCTCAGGAAGTTATCCCCCCTCCTCCAGTCCAAGGGCGTCTTCACCTGAGCTCTCACTCCCAGCCACCTCGACCTCCTGCAGGCCTCCACAGCCATCCTTCCCTAACATTTCTGTTCCTCTCCGCTGGCTTTTCACTCGCCTCGTCACACAAGCACACTCTCTCCCCAGCTTAAAAAAAACACAAAAAACAATTCCATCTCCCATGCCTTAATGTCCACCCTCTTGCCCATCCCTCCACCCATCCATCCCCCATCCCTCCATCCATCCACCACCCATCCCTCCATCCTCCATCCCTCCACCCATCCATCCCCCATCCATCTATCCCCAATCCATCCCCCATCCCTC